GACATTAAAGACTTGAGTTTTATTCTGAGCCTAGTACTTAGAATATTTCGCTCATAATTTGTAGCTTGAGGAGAGTCGAGCCTCCGCTTGCTACACAACGTATTTCAGGTATTTCAGCATCCGCATTCGCCGTTTCCAGGTGGGGACCATGTACTGTGTATTTCATCGCTTTTAATAATTTACCATGTCTGAGATCTATATGTGATTAGATTGAAGGACCGAAACGGATGAGTGATCCCATCTTGGTCAAGATGTTAGATGTCAGTTATGACTTAGATGAGTGGGCGAGGCCCAGCCTAAGTCTAGCGTCCAGATGAGTGGGCGAGGCCCAGCCTGGATTTCTGTGGGAGGGGACCCCCAGAGTGTGCACATGAGTACCGGTTTACCGTTAGTCCCATTATCAGTTGCAGTTTATTTATATATATGCTAATTTCATGATGGATTATTAATTGTGCTGAGTATTCAGTGTCGGTTCCGGCGGAGCACCGTTGATTCCTTTGTGCTCACGCCTCTCCACTATCCTATTTTTCAGGTGATGGAGTCCCGCATGACACGTGAGCAGTTATGTGGTGTTGGTCCAGCTTCAGGACATTTTGTGAAAACATGTCATATAGTATTTGAACATGTTTGAATTATCTATGTTTGTTTTATGATTATGTGCTTTTCTGAACTTGTACTTTCTTCCGCATGTTAGACTTGTGTTTCAGATGTCAGATTTCAGACTATTATTTCAGATTTTAGATTATGTCAGATTTTCAGAATATGTATGTTTTATCCGGTATTATTCATGGCCTTAATTCTAGAATGATTTTACTTGGTCGCATGCATAATAGATTAAAGAGATAAAGATATAAGATTAAAGTTGAGTAGCATCCCGCATTTTAAGTTAAAGTATTTTCGAAAAATTAATATGAGTTTTCGAAAATCAAATCAGTGCTTTTCATTTATAGCGCGAAAAATTTACTCTGATTATAGTAAGTTTTAGGCGGGGTGTTACATGTTATCTCTTATTTCCAATTGAAGAAGACCCTTCAACTTTGATTTCTTCATCATCACCTTAAGCTTATGATAGCTCACATGCCCCAGTCTTGCATGCCATAAATCGGTCGTTTCATTTTTCCGAGTCTTATCTACATAAGCAGACTCTGCTGGCATTACGTAGATGGACTCGAGCTTTCGACCCTCCATGATCTGTGTACCAATAATTTTTTGAGATTTTCGTACACCTTGACGTTATTGGGTCAAAAAACAACATAATTCCCCAAAGATGTCAGTTGTGATACTGATAGGAGATTTTTCTTCATACTTGGGACATGATAGACATCCTGCAGTTGCACTTGACTAGGACTAAACCGTGGAGTAATGATCGTCTTGCCAATATGGGCTATTGACAACCTTGAATTGTTAGCAGTGACAACCATCCGACCTCCGTTGTATTCAGTTGTGTTCTGCAACTTTTCTTTGTCTCCTGTCATATGATTGGAGCATCCTGAGTCCACGATCCAATCATTCTCATAATCTATTCGTCCAGGGACAACAACAACCAATGTCGTCTCTTCATTTAAGCTTGATTACTCTTCTTTACGAGCTTCATCTGATACAGTTGGGACGATCCCCTCGACTATCGCCATGGATGCCTCTATGTCCCACTCTTCTTCACTGTTGTTAGTCTCCTGGTTGTTGGACGTTGCTATATTCCCTTCAGCAACCTTTTTCCTATGCCAGCAGTCTCTGGCATAGTGATTCGGCTTGCCACATACGTAGCACATACCCTTTTTATTCCCCTTGGACGTCTGGTATTTCTTATAACGATCTTGTTGGACCCCCTTTGTTTCAGAACTTCTTTCTTCCTTTTTAATATATTCCTTTTTGTCTCTTTTATTTTGTTGACGTGGTCTCATATTCTTTTTATAACTAAATAAAGCTTCATCTTCTTTCTTTGATGAGACTTTCGCCATTGGTCTGCTCAATGTTTCTTGGTCGGCTAGTATATTTTCAAGATTTACCAAAGAAGGCTGCTCAGACCAACCTTGTATAGCGGATATGATCCCCCTAAATTCGGGACATGAATGATAATGCTTTTCATCTTAGCTTCTGAGACATTATCAGTGGGGTCTAATTCAGAGATTTCGCGATAAAGAATTAGTACCTTGTTAAAGTAGTCGCGTACCGTAATCTCCCCTTGTTTGAGTGATAGAAGCTCGTTCTCGAGAAGTTGCAGTTTGAACTCATTCTTTTTGGAAAATAATGCTCCCAGAGTGTCCCACGCTTGTTTTGGAGTGCTTGCGTCCCGTATTTGCTCCAACAGCTCTGTGTCAATAGTCGTCTTGAGTGCGTACATGGCCTTTCCCGCCTTTATCTTCCATTTACGTAAGGCCCCAGCTTCTTCGGGTGGTATGACTTCTTCTCCTTCAACAATTTTCCACAGATCTTAGCCTTGGAGATACGACTCCATGCATGTCCTCCATGTGGTGTAATTTCGATTATTGAGTTTCTCCATTCCGCCTACTGATTGTAGATCCGCCATCGTGACTTGGACTACCTCCTCGTAACCAAGAAAGTCTCACGCGTTTCACAATTTCTTTTAATTGTGCACGATGTCTTTTGAACTCAATAATGACGGCACATGATGAGCCCTGAATATATTGGCACGAGCTTGAACTTTCCGGACGTGGCTCTGATACCACGTGTTGAAAATAAATGGGCTAATAAACTCAAGACTAACACAACAAATTAATTTTGTTATTTCAAATATATCTGAACTTACAATAGCACTCAAGGAAATTCACTCTATCAAATCACTTCTCTCACTTACGTACAACACACACAATACCTCACTCACTATTTTATTATTAATTACTCACAACACTTATCACACTTAATATTTTATTGCACACACTCACTCACTTTCTTTTTTTTAATTATATTCTGATCACTCACACCACACACAACTCACTTCTCTTTTTCTTGTTTTTATCACACTGCACGCATGATACATACACATATATATATCTCTCTCTTATATCTTATATGAAGGAGTTGTGGTTGCGACACGTGTCCTTTTTCAACCCCTCCGTTGGTCGACACGTGGCATTTGCTATTTTTTTTCCTTCATTGTGCCAAATGGCACCATTTTGGTCATTACACTATTACCTTTTTTGTGATATGCACGTCTGCCCAAACACTTTTCCCGTTTTTCCTCGCAAGCTAGCCACATCGACTGAAGAGAGGCACCGACTAAAGAAATTGAAGGACCCAAATTAAGGAATGAGCATGTTACGCTCTCCAATGTAAAACCTAACCTCCGCAGACTAACTAAAACTTTTCATCAACCGGTTTTTTCCTCCTCCATGGCTGAAATCCCTTCAACCAGTTCCCCGGCCTAAACCCAATGCTCGCCGTCGATTTTTTTTCCAAGGTATGTCCGGACTTTTTCCATTTCTGAATTAGAGACGAAACTGCATAGGGGTTAAGGAGTTCACTATGCCTTTTGGGTTTGATTGCTCAGAGGGTGATGGTGGTTGATGAAATTGAAGGCACAGGTGGCGTGTATGACACACCTGCGTTCTTAGGGATGACCAACGGGCCGGAAACAATGGTTAAGATGTACGGTCCGGCTGTGACGGATGGTGTCCCCGCGATACTTTATCTTCAATCGAGTCTAAAAAATGGCTGCGAGGTTCGATTTCCACTTTAAGTTTCTGTTCTAAATTTGTGTTCTAAATTTTGAAACTTGAGTTTTTTAGAGTGCAAAATTCAAGCTCATAAAATGTTTTTATTTTTATCCTGGTGAGGACTCTGTGGTGTTGTAAATGGTTTTTTTATTGTTTCTTTTATTTTTTATTTTTTATTTATTTATTTATTTTTTTTTTTTTTTT